GAAATCCTTATTGTGCATGGCACTTCCGCATCTTACCTTTTCTTTGTATATTAAGTTCTTCTAATCTTACCCAAACTTTTCGGTTCCTGGAAAGTGTAGTGACTCAAAGAGTATAATTTGTGTACCTCTTCCTTTAGGTCACGAATCTCTCAATTTCATGAGGCTGGCTCTGAGATTTCTATTGTCCTTGGCAGATTCCTGGAAATACAGGTTGCATTGCCAGAACATGTGCAGCATCAGCTGTTGGACTTCACCTAGTTGGGGTATTATTGTCTATTTGCGTTCAGTTTCCCTTTAATCTTTATTCTATTCTTTATAGGTGAGATAAGAAAAAAGAAAAAACAATTGTCCTATACTAGTCACTTAACATGCTTTTGTTCTTCATTAGCCATTAGGATTCAAGGTTGATGATGCAAAGTTAAAGCGAGCTGGATTGGACTATTGGCCGTATCCTAACAATTCCTAGTATATGTTAAATATGTTGTTTCGTGTTTCTTATCAAAAGATAATGTTAAGTAGTTAATTTCTTCTGTAACTTTATTGAGTACTTAGTCAAAATAGAATTTCAGAATGATGTTTTTTTTCATCTGTGAATTAGCTATGCACATACATAATATCTGAAAGCCATGATATCAACGGTTTTATCATTACTGTAAAATTGCACGTCATTTCCTCATCTTACTTTTGACTCACCCTCCTTTTTTAATTTTCTTCCAAGATTCACTTCTAGGCAGCATATTCTGGTTTTGCATGCATGCCTTTGTTTCCTGACACTGCTGAAGTGATCTTGACTGGTTCAGTTATGTAAATTCCAATTGCCCAATGGCTTTACACAGTTTTACTATGTTTATTTGTTGTATAATCAGTGCTCTTGATGCTTTTAATTTCACATGAAAATTTTGCTTATTTTTAACAATTAACTTCCAATTTTAGATATGTGGTTGTTAAAGTTCACAGCTCGTGGGCAGAGTTCCAAGACTATTTCAGGCAACAGGTTTGGCCATCTTCAAATGTCAAAGAATGGATTTCGGAAGCCTTTCTCATAGTTTTCCTTTTGACTTTTTTTTCCCGCTCTCTGTTCCTTTATGACTACAGGATGGTGAAAAGCGGTTGCTTGCATTTACAAAGAGAGGAACAAGTTTTCATTCAGTAAGTTATTGCCATTTCAGTCTCACCGTTCTCAGGATTTTATCCTGATAAATCTTCATAACAATCAAACCAGCAGTGATAACTTTTGTCGGCTCTTTCCTTTTAGGGAGAGAGCTTAATCATTCTTGGTTTGGGTTCCTTGGTAAACAACAATGTTCTGAATCAAACCTGACTTGAACAATGAAATTTTTTTTTCTTATGTAGATGTCTTTTATTTGTGACATTGCCCGGTCGATCTAATATGTTATAAATTCTCGCAGTAATTGCATCTCATACACTCATGATTTTCATTTTTCTTTCCTTGAATCTTTTAGAGTCTTTTACATTTGTCCATTATTCCATTAAACTTGGGAAGAAAGGATGCAGCATGCTCGCGAGCAGTTGGCTGGTAAATTTTGATACTTGGTCACTCACATAGAAAGCGATACTGAATTTCAAGGTGATTGGTGGTCATTGATGGCTACATCCCATTAACTGTCATGAGATCATGCGAACTGATAGGCTGTCAATTTGACAAGAGTCATGCTGCCAAAACACTTTCCACAATATGCTTCTCTAATATTAAAAAAGTGTAAACAGTTTACTCACTTTTCAGACCATAATATTACTTCCTTCACCGATATGAACCATGGACTCTTGCAGTGTTTGGATCTACTTGGAAATGTCTCAAGATAATCCTCTTTTGTGATAAGAATTTATGTATTTTTTCACAAAGGCTTTGTCACCTTTCTTTTATATAATTACTCTCTCTTAGCGGAGCGTTGCACACGCTCCTCCAAAGTACTCGTTTACTTTAGTGTGGAGATGTATTTGCACTCCCATACTAAAGCACAGAGGAATACTGGAGAGCGCCATCTGCACTGCCCGTTTCTTGTCATGAAACTGAAATGTTAGCAACTCTTCTGTTTTTGTTGACATAACACTGTTGGCTGGCCAATGAAATAAGTATTTGAAACTGACTACACTAGTTCAACTTTTCAGGATTTTTCTTACAGAAAAGGTGATTTTCTCATATTTGGCTCAGAAACCTCTGGCCTACCACCTGAAGTCCTCCAAGATTGCAAAAGTGAAACATTTGGCGGTGGGACCATTAGGATTCCAATGGTTGAAACTTATGTGAGATGTCTGAATCTCTCTGTAAGTGTTGGCATTGCTTTGTATGAAGCTTCCAGACAGCTAAGTTACGAGCAGCTTCAAATTTCAAATGAAAACTGTATTGATCATGAACAATCATTTGTCACCGAGGATATTTTTGCCTAATGGATTGTACTAGAATTCATGTACTGTCAATATAAATAGAGCATTTGCTAATGTGAATTTTGCAGGACATAGCACTCGATTAAGTTTTAACAGACACAAATACCACAAGACCCTGACTTATGATCGACCACTTCTTCACCCTACCTTGATACTACTTGAGCTAGAGAGCGAGAGAGATCATATGAGTTCTTATAGAAAGAAATATTCAAGCACAAATCAGTATGTAATTTAGAGCATTTTATAATTGTTTTTGGGTATGCTTCACAATCTAGTCTTATGATCTACAGTGTCTTTTTTTATTATTAGGAATGAAAAAATTTCGTTACCATGTTTCGAAATGTTGGGAAATAGTTTTCATGAAATACCTTTTATTATCATTTGGAATATATTTCATTGTTTTTTTTGGAGTTATTGGTTATTCCAAAAGGTCCAGTCAAATGTGAAGGTACATACAAATTTTTTTCTCTTTGGAATTTGTACAAGCACTCTGATCAAATGTGAAGGTACATACAAAAACCTAGCTGCCCATCATCTTCCAACGCAAGATGCTTATCAAATTATAATCCTCCTAATTCAGCTTTTCTACCTATTCAAAAGGTTCAGACCTTTTCCCCAAGTGCAAAATTAAGAAATAAACTCAACTAATATTTCTGATTTTTCGTTTATAAATTTGAGTTTAGAGCATTATCCATTACTAGGAAATTACCCAAGTCTAGAGTTATTATGCGTATACAGAATTTAGTATTTTCCCGTTTAATACTTATATTATACACGCATATATGTATTTTTCAATAATACTTCTGTTTTCCGTACACATTTTAAAGGCTCTATAAAATACAAGTTTTTTTTTAAAGCAAACTTAAAATACATGTACATACATGTTTTTAATGTTTAATACACGTATTTTTTTACAAAATTTTCAATAATACACACAAACTTCATGTATTATAGACATAATTTCCACATGATTAAAAATAATATATATTAAAATATTACAATAAATTATTGTAAAATATTATATAATGGCAGAACTTTTCAGTTGTAACTTGCCAAAATAATAATTTTTCTAAAAAATAGTACGACTGCGCGGCAATACTAGGTCTTCTTCCTCTCTTTTTTTAATAAATAGTATAGCCGGGGGGCTATATTGTTGAAATATAAAATATTAAAAAGGTATAGCCGCGCGGTCATACGCCGTGTTTTTTTAAAGATTTCTACTTTTTCGAGATGATTTAAAACAATTCAGATACAAGCTTTGAAATATCATGTCCTTTTTCCTTCTTTATTTTCAGTGACCAAACAAACCATAAATGAACCCAATTGGAATCGAAAAGATATTCCACAATTCACATTGTTTGGATCAACTTACGACTGCATAATAATTACCTTCGAAAAAAATAACATAGATCAGTGAAGAACACAAACACTGACCGTGAATACCCCTCTCTCTTTGTGTTTATGCGTCTTATAATTGAAAAAGACTCTCTTTTTTCACATTTCTTTTCTTTGTTTTTTAAAGAAGATTTTGGAAATTTACAGCTTTCTCAGAACGGTAACGAATTTTTTTTACTTTCCACAGCAAAAAAAGAAAAATTGCAAAAAAAGAAAATTTGATCTTTTTAATTTTCTTTTTTTGTTTATGGAGAGCCCACGCGCTCTAGGAGCTCGTGCACAACACTATCCACTCGGAGGGGGATATTCCTTGGCAGGCTTTGGATGTGCTGTAACAGTACTTGGTTACTGTGTGAAGACCCAAAATCTGGTTGGATTTTCTATTAGAATTGGGTATGCTTTTTCTACTAGATGCACCTGCTAAAGTGTTATGCGCACCTCATTTTACCCTAGTTGGAAATTTTGTACAACTTATATGGTAATTTTGTAAATTTCACACTGACCAATTTCGTGGGAGTTTTAGCTGTCTGGGGTAAGAATATCTGTCTCTATGAAAAAGAAGTTCACATCTCAGCCGTACATAAGAGATTTTTTCTTTTCTTTGTTGAGACTCTATCTATATTGTGATAATGAATAGTATAGCACTGGGCTTTTTCAATTGTTTTAAAAAGAAATTGTATAGCCGCGGCTATACTTGGTTTTTTCTAATTTTTTAAATGAAAGCTATACTGAGTTTTTTCAAATATTTTTTAAAAAGAAATAGTATAGCCGCTCGGCTAGACTCGGTTTTTTATTTTTTATTTTTAAGAAATAGTTTAGATTCAAGACCTTTTTTAAAGAAATCGTATAGCCATCAGCCATCAACCATCAACCAAGCAAGCAACCAAGCAACTAGAATTAGATAACTGCTTGAAGAACAGCTAGAAGTATCATCCCTCAAATATGTTACATCTTTTTTCCACAACTTTCTGCAGAATTTGTATCCAACAGATGCATGAATATCCTGCTCTTGGTGAAACTAGAACTTTACTGGTAAAGTCCAGCCTCCAGGATGAATAGAAAGAACATGCTCAGTTGACTCATCGATCCACTGAATACTGAAGGATCTACATTCTTTCATCTGATGAATGGACAAATCAAAGGTTTTGTGAACAAGGGAGACAGAAAAATGAAATGCTTTTTCCCCAATTAATATCCAAATGTTTTAGTTCTGAGATCCACTCTTGTGTATCTTGAGATACATAGGGATTAGATGGTGCCACTTTCTCTCCCTCTACATCAGCTGATACTACATAATCAAGTTTTACATCCCTGGCAAGGTTCGGCTGTCGATTAGGGTAGAATATAGAATAAGGATATACAAACAAGAACCAGTCCCAATGAAAAGGCAGAATAAATGGGGTTGGTAAATAATACCACTCCCATACCTCCTAGTATAAGAACAAAGAATAGGAAGGCCTCCCCATTTTTCTAATGCACCGCAATGTCGTAGTGCCCTGTAAAATGTTGAAAAAAAAAATTGGTTTTATAGGAAGATACAAAGAATAGTATTTACTTAGTAAGGTGAAACAACCTAGGTTCCTAGTAAAAAATTGTAGCAGAAACAAAAGGACAAGGAAAAACTAGGTCTGGCTAGCTGTGGACTGTTATGTCCCTCTCAAACATGCAATGGCTATGCCACAGTAAACCATCTAACCAAATATGAGATCATAATCTCCTTCTATCAAGTCCTATGCCTTGCCTCAAGGGTAAAGTGACTTGGTGGTTTGAGGTAAGTCTTAGGTTCAAATCTTGTCCAGTTACATGAAATTTAAAAAAAGAAAAAAAGAAAAAGGAAATCAAACAAAATGAGTAACAAATCAGTAGTATATACAATACAACAATCTTCATGTTGTTGGTCATTTCTTACCGGCACGCTCAAATGACTTTCTACTGGGCATGAATGAAGGGTCCGTTCCCCAGCTCCTCCGAAATTGATTAATCTGTATGTAAAATGGAATTCTGTTAAACCAGGGAGTTTGAGCTCTTTTCCTTTTTTCTATAACAAGAGATTTAGCACACGTTATGATTATAGCCTACCTCTTCCTGCAAATTATCAATGTTGTCCCAATAGCCCTTTGGTTTTCGATGTTTATAAGCAAGAGAGAGGTTCATCAATGTTGCAATCCTCCGGAATCCACCCATGTGTGTGATTGCTTTCTCGATATCTACCCTCCCATGTAAACGAAGTTGCTTTCTCATGGGCATTAATCCTTCCTGCCCATGCTCTGAAATAAATTTCAGGAGCTCACTTTTCAACACTTTTATCCCTCTGCAAGCCTGGTAATCTAGGCCTTTGCCTAGATGAACTTTGAGCATTGGTATCAGAAAGCCGATCAACTGTTATACAACTTTCATCATCACGGTCTGTGCTAGATGAAGCGGTTTGTTCCTCCCTATATATACTTTCAGCGCATGCTTTCATTGAGTGTGCCGCCTGTTGAAAATTTGGATCTGCCCGTTGGGTCCCACTCTAACAACACCGATACTGTCCCCACTTTACCACCCGCCCAATCCGTCAGGTGTGGGGTTTTTATCACAAAAGGCCTCGGTATTAGTTAGAGTGTGGTAATTCTATTTAAACCCATTTGTTTTCTTTCACCCCACCGATGTGGGATTCCAACACTCCCCCTCACGTGTAATCACACGTGAAGATCCACACATCGGCAATTGAAACTCAGAGGTCGGCTCTCGTTGGGCCCACTTGTTTTCAATGGAACTCAGAGGTCGGCTCTTAGCTTCATTGGCATTTTTCAAGAGTCCGACTTGTTTCCTTTCCTTTTCTTTTCTTTTCTTTTTTCTTTTTTTTTTTTTTTTTTTTTTTTTTTTTGGTTACAAGCATCATTAGCTTGTACGAGCCTTGGCTCTGATACCATGTTGAAAATTTGGATCTGCCCGTTGGGTCCCACTCTAACAACACCGATACTGTCCCCACTTTACCACCCGCCCAATCCGTCAGGTGTGGGGTTTTTATCACAAAAGGCCTCGGTATTAGTTAGAGTGTGGTAATTCTATTTAAACCCATTTGTTTTCTTTCACCCCACCGATGTGGGATTCCAACACCGCCTCCCTCCTTTCTACGTAATCTCGTACGGTACATAAATTTGAAGGGAGATCTTCATATATAACCTACGATGACATGACAAATAGATATTCATATATAACCTAAGATGACATGACAAATTTGAAGGGAGATTTCATACATAACCTCACGAAAGTGAGTTTCTTTCAGAAGAAATTAGATAGATTTTGTAATTGTTTGCTTCTAGTCCGAGAACCATTATGAAGTAGCTTCAGTTGTAGATCTTATGAATATGATGATCGAAATTAGGTTCATACAAGGTCCGCCTCGAGAATTCAGAAATTTTGTGAGGTCAATAGAGGGTTCTAACTGAAAGCTGGCGAATTGTTTGCAGCTCTGCGACAGGTTCCCAAAGAATACTCGTCAATTTTTTGCAGACTTTAGACTTGCTATTAATTGTGGAGTGTTTTGGTATTTTTTCCGATCCGTATTTTACTGACTATGAAAGAATGTGAGAGGCAAAGATTAGTTTTTACTTGTTGTAACAAAAATGCAATATGGTAATTTTGCAATCTCTTTGCCAACAAGAACAACAATTTCAAACAAATATTTATGGGAATAGTAGTAAGAGAGGTGGTTTGAAAAGTGAAGCAATTACCAAAAACACTCCAACTCAGCATGCAATTCTCTACGACAAATAATGTGCTGATTAACATAATAGTTTTGTTGGTTTTCCAAGGTATTGCAAACAAGTTTGAGCTCCCACATTAGAACACTAGAGTTCCTTGAAGGTCCTTATAAGATTTACTCTTGGAAATAGAATAGTTTGTATTGGCTATGCAAATGGCCCAATTGAGTGGCTTGTGGGTACGGTCTTTGGTTAAATGCCAAATTAGTTGGGTCGATGGTTAATTAATATATTTAATTAATCAAAAGATGGGCCTTGGGCCTTGGGGCTCTGTGATTAAAAACCGAGTAGTTAATTTACTTAATTTGTAAAAATAGGATAGCCGGGCGGCTTTAACTTTTTTAAAATTATAAATTGTCTTTAATAAATAGTATAAAAGAGCAACTATAGTCTTTTACATATATATATATATATATATACACACTCATATATGTACGTACGTATTTGCAATGTTTTTTTTAAACACGTGGAGCCAAAATGATAGAGGGATTTCTTTTTCTTTTTTTCTTAAAAAAAAAAAATTGTACAGCATGTTTTTTAATTTTTTAGAGAAAGACTTATGTTGACACGTGGCACCTTATAAGGGGTTATGTTGACACGTGGCACCTTATAAGGGGTCCTATTTTTTCATATTTATACCTATCTTTGACACGTTGAGCCTAAATGATAGAGGGATTTCTTTTTTTCCCAAATAAATATAGTATAGCCGCACGGCTATACTTTGTGTTGTTAATTTTTTCAGAGAATTAGACTTGTGTTGGCACGTGGCGCCTTATAAGGGGTCCTCTTTTTTCATATTTATACCTATCTTTGACACTTGGAGCCTAAATGATAGAGGGATTTCTTTTTTTCCCAAATAAATATAGTATAGCCGCACGGCTATACTTTGTGTTGTTAATTTTTTCAGAGAATTAGACTTGTGTTGGCACGTGGCGCCTTATAAGGGGTCCTCTTTTTTCATATTTATACCCATCTTTGACACGTGGAGCCTAAATGATAGAGGGATTTCTTTTTTTCAAAAAACAGTATAGTATAGCCGAACGGCTATACTCTGTGTTTTTAATTTTTAACAGAAATGTCACGTGGCGCCTAATAAGCGGTCCTTTTTTCATATTTAAAACAGTATAGCCCCGGGGCTATACTATTTTACACGCGGGAGCATAGCGCTGTTAAATAGCATAGCCGTGCGGCTATACTTTTATTTTTAATTATAAATTGTCTTTAATAAATAGTATTGATGAGCCACTATAGTCTTTTGCATATATATATATATATATATATACATGCACACACAATGACACACACACATATGTATATATGCACGTACGTATTGTTCAATAATTGTTTGGGCCGAAAATTTGGCACACCCAGTCCAAAAGACCAAAGCCCATGTTAATCCTGGGCAGCCACCAGCATTCTTTGAAAATTGGGCCAAAATCTTTCAAACCCAACCCAAAATCAAGGAACCCAGGAAATCCAAAATGGCAAACCAAGACTGAAGAAAAGATTGGGCTTCAAAAAACCAGCTTTTTAAAGGAGCCCACCACTAACGCAGATCAGATTAAAATATCACAGGATTAATTAAAGCTTATTTTTTAGGAGCCCATGTGACTACCAGAAATAGAAAAGTCAACAAACTCAACTGAGTTGATTGGGAGTTAATTTAAACAGGGCAGTAGCTGGCAAACTGGGAAGGGACATCTAGGGATAAATCGGAAGATCAAAATCCTCTCTTACATGTATATATATATTCAGAGCTATTTTCTCTATTCCAAATAGGGTGATTGTCCCAAGAGATAAGCAGCCCTTGTTATTTAAAGAAGAAGATAAGCAGAAGGACAGAGAGTTGTTCAAACAGGAAATCAAGCTAACCATTACGGTTTGAGATCTCACAAGGGCAGTTGGGATTAAAAAGGAGTTAGGTTCTCTTTCAAAAACAGAGAAGTGACTATTGAGAGCTCGACTGCCAAAAAATTAGATAAAATTCCTTTTTCTTGTGTTTTAAAATTAAAAAGATCTTTCTTAGAAAATTGCCGCCCATTATTAAAAAATTAATTACCCTGCTCCAACACTCAATTCAACAACAATCAATCAAAAACAATCAAACAAACAAACAACTCAAAAATTAACCAAAAAGCCCACTTGAATTCCAAGTGAAACCAGCTTCAGATCAGAATTCCCAAGGTTCAGACTTAAAAAAAAGTCAATCAAAACGAGATTTCTCTCGTTACAAATTTGGTTCAGCAAAGAATCAAGATAGGTAGAGCTTGAGCTTTTCCCAAACATGAAAACCTCAACAAATTTCACAGTGCAGTCTCTAGCCCACTGAAGTCCTCGAGAACAGCCACTTCTACCCTTGTAGATTGAAGAAACCGCAGTTATGCCCACTCAAAAGCCTTACAAAAGCTTGAAGTACATTAAAGCTCTGTCAGAATTAACCTTTGGTATCGATTTACAGCTGAAGCTTAGCAGTTGAAAGTTGTCAACAGTCCAATCTAGCCCAGGCATTTCCAGCCCAGCCCGGATCAGAGCCTCCTATCCATACATAAATGAATTTCCAGCTGTCCTTTCATCTTTCTAGCATGGATATTTACTTTTATAGTTCTGTAAAGGCAGTTCTGCCCGAGGCAGTTTAAATTCCATCAACCATTCTGACCAGAACAACCTCTTTATACTGAGATAAATTATTAAAGTCCTCACCAGTCTGATGCAAGAAAAGAACTTACTTGGGAGATATTCCTCACCCAAATTCACAATCGTTTGTTTGCAGAAATCAGTAACTTGGGGCGCAAGTTATCCATTCTAAACTAAGTCTGCTAGAATCTTCATTGCTAGCAATGGCACGCTCGCACACCAAAGAAAGTTGACTTGTTGACCAGTCAATGGTTCACTAGCCAGTGGGGAACTTTGCCCTTTCACCACAAGAGTAAATGCAAAATGGGTGAACAATAATACATTCACATTTTTTAAAAACCGAGTAGTTCATTTACTTAATTTGTAAAAATAGGATAGCCGGGCGGCTTTAACTTTTTTAAAATTATAAATTGTCTTTAATAAATAGTTTAGAAGAGCAACTATAGTCTTTTACATACATATATATATATATACACATATATACACTCATATATGTACGTACGTATTTGCAATGCTTTTTTTAAACACGTGGAGCCAAAATGATAGAGGGATTTCTTTTTTTTTTTTCTTAAAAAAACAAATTGTATGGCATATTTTTTTATTTTTTAGAGAAATAGACTTATGTTGACACGTGACGCCTTATAAGGGGTCCGATTTTTGCATATTTATACCTATCTTTGACACGTGGAGCCTAAATGATAGAGGGATTTCTTTTTTTCCAAAAAAAAAATATAGTATAGCCGTTCGGCTATACTCTGTGTTTTCAATTTTGTAGAGAAATAGACTTGTGTTGACACGTGGCGCCTTATAAAGGGTCCTATTTTTTCATATTTATACCTATCTTTGACACGTGGAACCCAAATGATAGAGGAATTTCTTTTTTTCCCAAAAAAATATAGTATAGCCTGACAGCTATACCCTGTGTTTTTAATTTTTTAGAGAATTAGACTTGTGTTGGCACGTGGCGCCTTATAAGGGGTCCTCTTTTTTCATATTTATACCTATCTTTGACACGTGGAGCCTAAATGATAGAGGGATTTCTTTTTTTCAAAAAAGCAATATAGTATAGCCGAACGGCTATACTTTGTGTTTTTAATTTTTGACAGAAATGACACGTGGCGCCTAATAAGGAGTCCTTTTTTCATATTAAAAACAGTATAGCCCTGGGGCTGTACTATTTTACACGAGGGAGCATAGCGCTATCCAGCTGCTCTGTTTTATTTATAACTAAATAGTATAGCCGTGCGGCGATACTCGTTTGTTTTTATTTTATTTACAGATAGTATAGGATGTACTTTTATTTTTAATTATAAATTGTCTTTAATAAATAGTATAGAAGAGCAACTATACTCTTTTACATATATATATATATATACACTCATATATGTACGTACGTATTGTTCAATAATACATTCACATTTTTAAAAAACCGAGAAGTTAATTTACTTCATTTGTAAAACTAGGATAGCCGGGCGGCTTTAACGTTTTTACAATTTTAAATTGTCTTTAATAAATAGTATAGAAGAGCAACTATACTCTTTTACATATATATATATATATACACTCATATATGTACGTACGTATTTGCAATGCTTTTTTTAAACACGTGGAGCCAAAATGATAGAGGGATTTTTTTTTTCTTAAAAAAAAAAATTGTATAGCATGTTTTTTTAATTTTTTAGAGAAATAGACTTATGTTGACACATGA